AAAAAAAGGGCTGGGGATGTGGCTTAGTGGCAAAGCACCCAGGGGTTCAATTTGTAGTACCTCAAAAATAAATACTAAGAAAAATGTTAAGAGCCTCCCAGAAGCTCATGGGGTTTAGCTGTGAGGGAAGCGACATGGGGCAGGGGAAAGAGCTGAGAGTGTGGCCCCCCAAGTTGGGGACAAGGCCCTGAGCTGTGTGCCCTGGATCTTTGCCTATGGCCTCCTCCAGGGGGAGAGTTCCTGGACCTCCCCCTACACCATCTTCCTGTTGGGCCAGGAGAGTCCTCTCAGGAATGCAGCATCCGTGAGCCGCTCAACTCCAGGGGGCTGGGGCCCGCTCTGGGGCTGTGATGGAGATGTGTGTAGCTCAGCACAGCCGCACAGTTCCCACAGCCCCAGACCCAGAGCCCTGTGCAGGAAGGACTCGCTGACACTGCCCGAGCCTGCCTGGCCTTCTTTCTGGCTTTCCCTAGCACCTGTTTCCAGGGTGATGGGGGCCTGAGAGGGAGGGACCCTAGAATCACTAGAACGAAGGTCTTGGTGGACCCTGATCTGGTGGTGCTTGGGGCATCAGGTGACCAGTGGAGACCCGGCCTACCGCCACCACACAGTGGGCAGCGGATGCACCCAGCCCTGTGTGGCTCCTGCCTGAGCTTGGGAGAGTGCTGGGGAAACATAAAGTGGCACAGGCCACACTTCGGTGTCCCTGATGGCAGGAAGGAGAAATGGAAGTCCCTGGGACTTCATTTGTCCCAAGTGGGAAATCCAAGAGAGTTGGTGCCCCCACGAGCCTGGGATGACTGACAGCATTTTCCTCTGGTGCCATGATGATCCCACAGCTGATGGAACATGGATGTGACAACTGCCTAGTGATTCAGCCTCATCAGCTGGTGCCTTCAATGGCAGTTAGTGACCTCAGTGTGAGATCTTCTAGCAAATTAGCAAAGAGTTTGTTCCTAGTCAACTCCCAGCAAGTTTCTCCCTGAGACCTTGGTAACCTATCAAGCTGAAGCTTCACTGGTCCCCTGCCTGGAAGAGGCACAGGAACTCACTGATTCTGAGTGTTTGTTGACTGAATGTGTGAACCGCTTACCTTGACAGAGAAACTCTTTCTGGGTCTGCTGCCAGCCACGTCTCCTCCTCCTGACTTTGCTCGGGCTGCCTTTTCCCAGAACTCCAGCTGTTTCAGACCCCAGGATCCCTGCATGTGCTGTGACCCTGCCTGGTAGGTTCTTTCTCCCGTAGCCAGTGCCTCCTTCCCCTTCCACTCCTGATGGACCCGGATACAGCGGGCCACCCCCTCCCATGTAATTAAGCAATCCTCTTTATCTAATGTTGCCTGTGGGTTGCCTGTTTTTCCTTTCTTTTATCACAGGGGGCACCTTTGTGTGTGAGAGAGTGCTGGGGATTGAACACAGGGGTCTCTACCATGGAGCTACACCCTTTTTATTTTCAAGACAGGGTCTTGTTAAGCTGCTCAGGCTGGACTCACACTTGCCTCCTCCCAGGGGAGTTCCCAAGTCACAGGATCACAGGTGCGTGCCGAGCTTTTTTAAAAAATATTCTATTATTGTTTTAAATTTTTTTCTTAGTTGTAGTTGGACACAATACCTTTATTTTATTTTTATGGGGTGCTAAGGATCGAACCCAGCGCCAGTACCAAGCTTCTTAAAGGCAGAGACAAGCCTACTTGTCCTGGGGCAGGTCAGCTCCCCACCTAGGAGCCAATGAAGGCTCAGGAAATGCTAATCAGTCTGATGTCAGAGTGCCTGAGACCTCGGTGTCCACCATGGAGATGCACCTGTCCTCCCCCACCTCCCCGTCCCCTGGCACTGGGCCATGAGCCGCTCCTTCCAGGCTGCCCCCCCTCACCTCAGCTGCGGTTTCCCTTTCCTACCTGGGGGAACCAGGTTTGAAAGACCCAGGAAGTAGTGGGGTCTGCCTCCCCACACTGAAGAAGTCGGGTGCTCCTAGGCTCCCAGGACTGAAGAGAGGAGGCCGCCGTGGGGACAGAGACCCCTGGTGGCAGCTGGCCACAGTGTGCCTGGAGGGTGGGTTTTCTCTGCGTCCTGGGGATGTATGGTGCGAATGTGAGCCTGGATGCGGAAGACCCACACCTGCACTGAGGCTGCTGCCTCTGAAGCAGAATCTCGAGGTTTTCTCGCGGTGCACACTGGGCATCCACTTGGAGCTTGGACGTCTGGGACCTCCGTGAACAAGGAGCCACAGCATGAAGGCTGTCCCCTTCAGCCACACCTGAGAGAAGCCCAGTGCTGTCCTTGGTACTGAGGAGAGAGGGAGGTTCTGGGAGGCCACATTGCTCCTGATGGGAAAGCCAGGCCAGACCCACCTGGCTACTCTAACTAGTGAGCAGAGCACACAGGGAGTGGGGTGGGTGTGGCCACAGGAGTCTGGGAGGGGTGGCCTATTCTCATTTAGATTTCCCTGAGTGGGGCCGGCCACATCCCAACAGGCCATCAGCTGTGCCCACAGTCCTGGGGATGCCTTTGGTCCTCTCCTCCTAGGGCCTTGGCCAGGGTGCTGTGACGCAGGAACACACAGGCATGTGGGGGAAGCAGAGAGGAGAGGGGGCTCCACTGATGGGAACCCCACAAGAGAAGTGGGGCCATGGCTCCCGGCCTCCAGGATCAGCTGCTGCCTGACAGGTATGTGGGGTGATGGTGAGATTCCCCCATGATCCCCAGCCCCCAGAGGGAGGTTGGGTAAGAGCAGGGACTGACAGGATTAACTAAACACAGAGGTGGGGAGCGGGGAGGGTGCTTGGGATGGGGAATGTGTGGCAGGTCCCCAGGCATTCTCGTCCTCGCAGCCCTCACCTGGTACTCCTTGGCAAAGCCCTTGGCCAAGAGGCGTCCCTGTGTGCTGTGGTACACAGATTGGCAAAGGTCCTGTGCTTCTGAAGACTTTTCTACCTCGACCAGCTCTGGAGGGTGCCAAGGAGGGACATGGGAGGGCCGCTGTGGTTAAGACCTTCTTGTTGTTCAAAGTACACCACACCCAGCGCCCTAAGCCAGGGCCCTGGATCCACCCCTGAAGAGTGCCCCCTCCAGCACAAAGTCCTCTGCTCTCTGGCCTGGCCCCACAGCCAACATCCAACCTGAAAGGCCAGGGCCCACCTGCTGTGCTCTGCAGGCCCGTATTCCCCCCAAATTCAGATGCTGGGAGCAAAGCCCCAGATAATGGTATTAATAGATGGGGCTCTGGGGAGGTGACTAGGTCCTCCTAAATGGACTGGTGCCCTTCCTTGTACAAGAAGCCTGAGGGAGCATGCCCATTCACCCCACCACGGGGGACACAGATGACACGCCATCCATGGGGGATGACCTCATGGACACCAGACTTCCTGGTACCTCAGTCCTGGACTTCCCATCCTCTAGAACTGTGAGCAACACATGTCTTTCGTTTATAAGCTACCCGTCTAACAGCAGCCTGGTCAGACTAAGGTCCCGTGCCAGACTGGCTGTTCAGCACTTTCAGTACAGTCCTGATTTAAGCCAGGATGCAAAAAGCCAGTGGAGACCAGGAAGGTGGGAGAAGGGTGGCACAGAACCCGCTGCACCAGCAGCAGGTGCGGTGAGACCCAGGGAGGGTGGCCAAGGAGGGAGTGGTCAAGCCGGGGTGTGGAGTGAACAGGACACTCAGGAGGAAGAGCAAGCAGTTTTCAGATTGAGATCTAAAAGGACATGGGAACAAACATAAGGGAAACTCAGCATCACATAAAAATAAATAAATAAAATAAATTGTGTCCATCTACAACTAAACAATAAATGAAAGAAAGAAAGAAAGAAAGAAAGAAAGAAAGAAAGGACCGACCTGCCCTTGACTCTTTGGGTACATGCCAGGATTTCCATGGCAGGTGCACCATATCACATTCCCACCACTAAGCACCAGGGTCCCAGTTCTCCATTCTCACCAAAACCTGTTTCTCCTCCTCCTCTTTTTCCTTCTTTTTTTGCCTCCTTCTCCTTTTTCTTATTCTGCAGTACTGAACCCAGGGCCAGCTGCATGCGAGGCAAGTGCTCTACCAACCAGCTATACCCAACCAGCCAGGCTGTGAGCCAAAGCAAATCCTTTCTCTTTATAATTTGATAATCTCACGTATTTGTCACAGTGATGGAGAGCCAAGAACACAGAGGGTGATAGATAACAAGGGTGAACCAGGAAGTGGAGGATCGGATACTCACACTGCTGATGGGAATGTGAAATGGCGCAGCCACTGCAAAGCCACCTGGAAGTTCCTACAAAGCCTCAGGGAGGGCCCACAGGACCCAGGCGTTCTCCTCCTACGTTGTGCTCCAGGGATATAAGAAACACGTCCACTTATGAGATATCTTGTGCCAGGATCCTCACTGCAGCCAAATACGGTGAACAACTCACAAGTCTAACGACTGATGAATGGGTACACACAGTGTGGTACATTCACCACAGCTGCACTGTCACATGGAAAAGGAAATCAGTCTTGGGCTGGGGCCGGGGCTCAGTGGTAGAGTGCTTGCCTAGCATGTGTGAGGCACTGGGTTTGATCCCCAGCACTGCATATAAATAAATAAAATAAAGTCATTGACAACTAAAAAAAAAAAATTTTAAATGAAGAAGGAAATCAATCTCACCCTTGCATTGTAAAAATTAACCTAAAAATGATCATAGATCTAAATGTAACAGCTAGAGCTGTGAGGCTTCCAGAAGACCACACAGGAAGATATTTTCACAGTCTTGAAACAGGCAAAGATTTCTTAGGCAAGAAACCAAGCATTAATAATAAAAACAAAAGCCATAAATTTAATTTTATTAAATAAAAAAATTTGCTGATCAACAACGTCATTAATAACAGATAAGCCATAAGCCAGAAGAAAACACTCACCAGAGAGGGCGGATAAAGGACACATTCAGGAAACATGAGGAAACTCTACACATGGGCTGCATGCCTATGACCCCAGCTCAGCTCCTGCTGGTGGGACTGTGCACTGGAGTCACTTGGAGAACTGACCATTTTTAATAAAGTTACTCATGTATCTAATCTATGAGCCAGGATTTCCAGCCCTATGTATTTACAGGAAAATAAAAACATAAGCCCACAAAGACCAGCAGGACAATGTCCACAGCACACTCTCCTTCATAAAAGCCCCGAACAACTGAATGCCTGGCAAGGGGAGGAGGGATCAGCAGCTGGGTCTGCTCGGCAACCAGAAGGAAGGAAGCGCTGTGCCCTCCACAGTGCATGGAAGGGTGCAGGAGAAATAAACTGATTAGAAATGCGTCTGTTACAATGGCCAAATACAAGGCTTCCCAGTAAGATTGGGAAAAGACTAAAACCTTCTAATGAATATTTGGCAGAGCCATAATAATAACCTGGATCTTTTGAGTTATATCACCATATCAAGGGTATTCAAAAAGGTGAAATTGATCTTTTGGATCCTATCTCTCTAGCTGGTCAAATACTTCAGGAATTAAATGGCTTTAATCCCACAAACATGTTGAAACATCCTACAAGGTATGTTATTGAGATGATATGTTTTCTACTAATTCTTTTTATGTCATAATAGTAGATCATGACATCCTCGGACCAAGAATCCAGGACTGGAAATTATAACCCCTCGATTGTGTTCATAAATTAAGAGAGATGTCATGAGCCATCCATGGGCTGCGTGTGAGCTATGCGCATTTGATCGTGTGAGGGGAGGGGTCTGGCGTTATGCACTGACTGGGCTGTGCAACCCAAGTGTGCCTTTCTTCTCACTCTGCTTGTGATCCCACACAGCACCTGAGAAGGGTGTGACTTGCCAAGGTGTCAGTCTGCTGGCCACAAGCCATCACCAAGCAAGACTCAACTTTCGAAACCCCTTGCCTCTTGTGGGTAGAATACTTTATCAAAAGTCTTTTCTCCAATAAATGGGGGGTTCCAGGTGCGCACTTTTCTTGCTCCTTCCAGCTGCCCAGTGTGGAGCTGACCCTCGGGGTCCCAGAGCAGACCCACCCTTGAAACTTAGGTTTATTGCGTAGTTTCTTTGCCGTTTTCTTAGTTTGTGGTTGCAGCCAGCTCCTTTGAACCCAGTTCATCTTGTCAGCCAAGCCAGCTGGCGACACCCAGCTGCTCAGGAGGCTGAGACAGGAGGATCACGAGTTCAAAGTCAGTCTCAGCAAAAACGAGACCCTAAGCAACTCAGTGAGACCCTGTGTCTAAATAAAACATAAAATAGAGCTAGGGATGTGGCTCAGTGATTGAGTGCTCCCGAGTTCAATCCCTGGTACCAGAAAAAAAAAAAGTTGAGTGAAGAAATTGGTGATATATTAAACAGATACAGATAGACATCAGTTGGACAGATGACACATGGTTGATTGGCAGCAGATGGATATAAAGACAATAGGCAGGTAGGTAGATGGCACAGAGGTGATACATAAGATCAGACAGGAATAGCCAGGGATGTGGTTCAGTGGTAAAAGGGGGTAAAATAGGGGTAAAGCGGGGATGTGACTGGCATGCTTGAATCCCTAGCACTGCCCATTTTTTAAGAAATTTTTTAGTTGTAGACGGACCTTTTTTTTTTTTTATTTGTATGTGGTGCTGAGAATCAAACCCAGTGCCTCACACATGCTAGTCAAGCGCTCTACCACTGAGCCACAACCCCAGCCCCTGCCCATTTTTTTTTTTTAAAGCTCATTTAAGATTACACAGGTATCTAGATAGGTGATAAATAACTGATAGTGTATGGACAAATGACGGACAGAAGAAAACCTGAGTACTGCAGGAGGGAATGAGGCACTGCTTAGCAAAAATCCAGACAGCAGTAAGCCCAGGAGAAGCTCCAGAGAAGGAAAGACAGAAGACCACAGAGAAGTAGGAAGCAGAAAGAAACAGAAAACAGAATACAGAACTCCTGAGCAAACAGAAATAATCCAAGTCCAGTAGAGAACTTCAGAGAAAAAACGGTGATACGCTCAGAGAGGTACTTCTGCAGAGAGGAAACAAGATGCTGTGAAAACCCTGAGAGCAGGAAGGGACTCTAGGAGATTAAGAATATGATTAAGAAAGAGTGAAATCCAGTGGAAGGTTGAAAGAGAGTTTGTAAGAGAAGTCTCCAACAGAACACAGCAACACAGAACAAAAAGGGGACCACGCCCAGGATGAAGGCTGCAGATCTGGAAAGCCACCGTCCAGCTGACAGGAGTTTCAGAGAACCAGCCAGACAGCTGCAGAGAGGAAGCTACTCGGGCAACAACCGCTAGTGCCCAGAGCCACAGACAGCAACGGCCCGGGGCTGCAGACACTGACCCAGCCCTGCGTGCCTCTCTGTGATCTCCAATGAGCCAGGTGTAAGAACAGCTCAAGACCTGGGGTGTCTAGCCAGGAAGAGCAGGCCACCCGCAGGGAGCACCCTCCAAGCGCCCCAGGAGGCCTACCTCAAGTCACAGCACAGCCCTAGGGGTCAGCTCAGGGGGCAGATGTGCTCAGACTTGCCAAGCCTCTGGTACTGCTGCAGAGGAGGGGGCAAGGTGACAACAGCAAAGAGGCCTGCAAGCCCCCTGGGCGGGCTGTGCTGGAGACACAGGGCTGAGACTTTGCCCAGAGAGCTTGGGAACTGTTTGGACTCCCACTTCGGCAAAGGAGGCTGTGGAGGCGCTGCTGCTCTTCTGGGCAGTAAGTGGAGGGCAGGCCACGCTGCATAGGCCCAGGCCTCAGATTTTGGCTAAGGACATGCTTCATGACCTCCAAGAAGGTGGGCTGAGATATTAGTTTTATATTTGCTGCTGTAAAAAAATCTGTACAAATTTAGTCATTTAAGACTACATCAGGGCTGAGGCTGGGGCTCCGTGGCAGAGTACT